CCAGGGTGAGCTGTGGGTCTATGATATCTTTAAATTGAAATTAGACAATACTCAAAAAGCCCTAAGTGCTACAACTTCCAGAGGTTTTGATGAGGTATGCAAAACCTTAATCTGAATCAGCTTTAGACCTGAGCTTAACTTCATATTCAACAGAAACTGGAAATCCTATAAATTTGCATATATTTAAAAATCTTAGGGGCATCTGGTCTTTAATTTTTTATTGAGACAGTTAATTGTTAAGAGTCAACCATAAAACTTTTACCCAGGCATGGACTTCCATTAGATTTGTATGTACTAATATTTAGTATATTGATTAAAGCCAAGTTAGAGGTAAATTTAAATGCAGATTTGTTTGAAATTTGTGAAGTTTCTCATATGTAACTGAACTGAATTTAGATTTCATGGTAAAAAAATAAAGACTTTTTATGGGTGCAAAATTTTTCATTTGTTCTTACATACTCTTTTTTTCTTAAACCATTTCTGCTGGACACAGAGGGATGGACAGGGGTCATTGTGCTTCCAGGCTCTGTTTCTGTTGCAGATGGCACCTGTGTGAGTGAGTGTGGAGATGGCTTCTTTGCTGATGGCATCTCTAGAGAATGTGAGCCTTGCCACAGGAGCTGTGTAACCTGTGTTGGGTACAGTTACAAGGACTGTACTGGGTGCAAACACAGTTTCCAGCTATCTCATGGGCAGTGCTTGAACCCAGGAAATTCTCTGCCAGCTGGAAAGTTCTGGAGGGGTAAGTTGAAACAGGTCTTGTAATCTTTTCTGGTTTTCTGAAGACTATTACAAAATTTAGAAAGAGTACTTGCAGATTGCTTGAAACTTCACTTTTGTAATTTTAAAAGTAAACTGACCAAACCCAAAACTGAAATTCATTTTCCTGCAAATAGTAGAACATGTCAGTACAATATAGGTATTTCTTAGCTATCTTCTCTGAATAAAGATTAAAAATATAATTGAGAAAAAAAAATAAAAATATAAAAGATGTGTAAGAGATTAAGGTACTGGGAGTTCGTTATCTAAACTACTAACTGCATTGTAGATTAGGTTTTAGATCAACTTTGTGGCTATTTGTACCCTCCAGAGAAGTCAATATTATTTGGAGAAAATAGAAAATAATATAGCGTGTAACTATTTGTGTGTGTGATATGAAAAAAATCTATCCTCTCTCTTCTTTCCTTTCTCTGTATAGATCTGCACTGCTTTCTGAGAGACCATATATATGGGCTGTAGGGCTACATTCTGACATTCTGGTCCTATGCTGGCCATTTCCACAACCTTGACAAAGTAATTACTTTTTTTTTTTTTTGGTGGTCTCATCCATAGCATGAGGGAAACAATTCTCTATTCCAAAACAGCTCCCAAAAATCCAAAAGCTGTTTGGAACAAAAATGCCTTTATTTATAGAAGTTGAGAGGACCACTGTAATAATTTTAAACATTATTTTCCTTCCTATTTATCTTCATATGAAACCTAGTACTGTCACAAATTTCTTATTTAAAAAGTTTTAAAAAGGCACATATAGACTATTTGTCATTCCCATTATGTCAATGTATAAATAACAGTTGAAAGTTTGTGCTACAAAATAAAACTGTGCCACTGGAAAAAAAGGGGACTTTCAAATTTTATAATGGGACAGTAGAAGAATCTATTATAAAGTTTAGGGATTTACAATACTAAGAGTCTTTAAGAACACATGGAATGTATCTGACAGGGATGTTTGCTGAATGGAGCAAAAGACCAGATTATTAGCTGTATTTTTGAGTCAAGTAAACATATTCTCCTTGTTCCTGTGTTTTCATTTGAATCAAACACATCCAAGAATGACAATCCTTAGATCAATATGATCTTGTATTAGAAACTAAAATACAGTAATTAATACTTTCAGAAGAAATATTGACCATTGCAATTAATTGCCTATCTGTTGAAGAAATTATATATTATAGATTATAGGAATAATCATTCTTTGCTTAAAAAAAAAATATCAGAGAGACATAAAAATAAGAATATTAATAGAAAATTGATCTCCTCCTTGCATTTCCTTGCATTTAATCCATAGAAGTAAGTTTGGGGATTTTTTTCAACTTAAGACTACATCAGTGCCATGAAAAGACCACATCTGTAGTCTGGTCTATCTATTGATTATCTCTTTTTCACACTGTTGAACATGGTGACTTCTTGTCAATTTTTTTCTTTTGAGCAGATATCTGATGCAGTTCTGCATAAATGAACATTCCTGTCCTGTGAAACTTCTTTCTCTCAGTCTTGCATATCATTCATCTTTCCTTACAGTAGTAAAAATACATCTGTCTCAGGGACATTTCAAGCTGAAAGATAAGTCTCACTCAGAGCTGTACTGGCTTGGACATTAATGACTGCTCCAAAGACACAGGATTCGTGCTGCAGCTGGTGATGGGATCCCAGGGGAAATTGGTGGTGGCTGTACAGCTCTTCTTGGACAGACCTGCAGGCATTCATTCCTTCACTGTGCCAGCTGCTGTACCGTGTAACTTTTGGAAAAGTGATACCTGAGCCTTTTTCCTCCAGGCTTCTACATAGAAGTAATCTTCAAGTCAAAATGTAATGAAGTTGCCACTGTTTATTGAAGTTACATCCTTTAGTAACTACATTTATTGAAATTTTCTGAAGTTTCCTATTCAGATACTGTAGTATCGTACAGTTCACATAAAAATAATTGTCATTGTTTAAAAACAACACAACCTGAATGGTTGATTTGTGTTTTGAATATTACTCATTAATTTCTTTTGATGATTTCATTGAAGGGGCAGATGTCAGCTGAGTCCAGATTTTCAACTGTACTGTCTATAGTGGAAATTCTTGTTGCATGCTAAAGGTCCTTAACAAAAAACATAGGATCCAGGAAGGCAGGATGAAAACACATTTAGCTCTATCAGTGCATCACACTGCTAAGGTTGTTCCTGGTTAGAGACTGCAGTGCATTTCACACCCTGATAACATTTTAATATACATGGATCATTTTAAAAGGGAAAAAAGAAAGCAAACTAAACAACCAAAACCATTCTGTGTTTCACAATCTGTCAGATTATCTAAATCTTTCTGAAAAACTGATAAAATTTAGGGAATGCAGTCACTATCATTGTCGACACAATTCTGTAGGATTAGTACAAGAATGGATAAAACAACAACCTATCTCTGCTGCTGGAAATTTACTATCAGTGAGTATTCTGGCTCTCATACCTGTACAGAAAACATCCCTACATGAAGAAAAAATGGTCCCTCTCCAGCTTATTTAAAGTATATCTGTAGTATCTGTATATTTTCACCTATTGTGTACTTCAAAGATATAAATAATATATACAGAGAAAATAGTTTTTCTTTCATACTTGAGGGCAAAATCAAAGCATTTTTCCAAGTCTTTCACCAGCTACTCTACACAAATGTATCTGGAATCTTTTATCCCACTTTACCTTTTTTTTGTTACTGTGGTTTTTTGGGTGTTTTATGTACTCTTTTATTTTATCCAGGGTTACTTTTTATTACAAAAATACAAGGACCTCCACCTCATCTATTTTCAAACTCATTTTCTAAGGGTAGCCTGTCATGCAGCATGACAGGCATGATCCAAGTAGCTTGTCCAAGCTGTAGGGGTTATTAGAATAGTTTCATAATTTTCACCAGCCCTACATAAGCAAGGCTGTTCATCAATATCAGCTTCTTACAGTGCTTCCTCAGCTTCTTCAACATACTTACCTTAGTGCAGTACCATGGTAGAACTGCCTCTGATCTCCAGTGGCCTGAATTAAAGAATCTGATTGAAACATACAGGCCAGATGATTTCTACTCCTACCATTTTGGGAGACTGAACTGGGTCTGGGGAGCTTGGTATTAAATAAAAAACTTTGTCCTTGCCATGGCAGTGAAGGTAGGAGAGCACCAAATGCATCCCCAGTACATGGTCTCCTCCAGACTATTGGAGGAAGACAACACAACTAGGAAGACAAGACAAAATTTCTGCATCTAATAGTTTACATCACCTTTAAGGATGTTACTCCTGCATTTGCTCTTTTTCTTTAGAAATATACTAATTCAGAGTTGAGGTATTAGACCTTGAATTGTGTTACAAGCAATTAAACAATTTCTCTTTGGCTCTTCCACCCACATGAATTCAGAGGGTTCCACTGCGGGGTTAGTGAGTATGTTGACACACCATGGGGAAAAAATGTGACTTTTGGGAAATGTTTTGCTAGTTACAAGGCAAATATAATTTAAAGGGCAGTATATCAGAACCTTCCATGGAGAAAACAACCCAGGGTCTGACTTCGTTTGCAAGTTGACACACTAGTCCATTTAGGTTCGGATTAAAACCATTGTGAATGTGGAATACACTTCTATTTTCTATCATGTTCAAGGTCTCACATTTTTCTTATGCAAGGATAAATTATAGACCATCCCACAAATTTTTATGAGCAAACACTCCAGCATCCAAAACACTTTATGAAAAAAATCTATTTAAATTTCTATTTACTTTGCTGGTATATTCCTGTTCAACTATATCAGGAATCCCTAAATTGTCATCTTCAGGTCTGAAATAATGCAACAGAATTATGTCTGTAACTCAGGCTTTTAAAAAGACAGGAAAAGCCAAGAAAAGGAAAAACAAAAAAACCCTAACAACTGAACTCTAGGTTTCTAGCATGAAATATCTGTTTTTTATCTCATGTACCAGATGATCGATTTAGAAGGCAGGAAACACACTAGTATAAACTTAATTTACGAAGTGAATACATGGCCCTATTTAACTGGATTAGATATTTTGAAAATTATGATGAACTCTTCGTTTTGCCATACCAGTAAAAGGCTGCACCCTTAAAACAGTCATTCCTTGGTTTAATATGCTACACTGTAATGAAAATTAAAAATGGAAAAAATAGGTATGGAAAGAGATCTGTTTCTAATGATGGAATATGTATTTTTTACATACAGATAAAGAGCATCAGTTTACTGTTACGTACCATCCCCAATAATAAGAGCAACTTCCCACAAGCACCACTAACCAACTGCATTTTCCTCTTCCTAAATAAAAAGCAAAATAAAATCAGTAAAAATGTACTGGTTGTGAGAAAACAATAATTAAGGCCATAAAATGATCTTATCTCTGCTCATATGCCTTGGCTTTTGTAGAGGTTTTCAGCTTTTTTTTAATATAAACTTTACATTTTCCAGAACAAGAGGTGAGCATGTGAAGAGGACCATACTTGTTTCCATATGAACCCATAATTTTCACCCTTAATATTTTTGACGACTCATTTAATTTTTCTCTAAAAGCAGATTGAAAAAAAGTTGGGAGTTCAAAGGAACACAACTGAATGAAAAAAAAAAAAGGAAATATGGGGATATTGTGTTAATTTGAAATAAAATTTCAATCCTATTTTCTTTAATTAATTTTGGGGTAACAGTTTACATCTTACAGTGATATTTCAAGAAAATCTACCATTGTGTCACTCATGAGGCACAACCCCAAATGAGAAAAGAGAATAAGGAAAAAATGTTTTGCAGACTTTCTGCATCCTTCCAATTTTATGATCCCTTGAATAGACTGAATGGACAAGAGCACTGTGGCAGCTTCAAAGCTGCAGTAAAATTTAGCTCAAGAAATAATGAGATTCAGTTTTTCAGGTTGTATAAAAGAATAAGAGAGACTTACCAGGGCCAAAGATGCTAATAATTCTGTCAAAGACAGAAGAATAAAGATGGTATTGACACAGATTCTGACCCAAGTTTAAATAAAGAGCTTTTGCTTCTGAAAATAAAAAAACAGATGTTGAATTAAAAAAAATACAAATTTAAGCATAAAAACAACTCAGTAAGTCTCCAAAGATCATTCATTTTGTTGAAAACACAGGTCCTTTAAGGGAAAGGAAAATCAAATCCAACAGCTTAAACCCAGTAATTTTCGACCTTTCAATTTGCAATCAGTCCAAAGACTGAGGAAGTACATGTTGCATGACCATTTCTTCAGGTGCATGAGGTTATTCTTTGGAAGGATCTTACATTTAAAGTCAAGGAAACTTACATTTAAGAAGTTTATATTATTCTAAATGTGTGCTGTATTTCAGTTTTTTTGGTAAATGAAAATCACAGTTACAAGAATAATTCATTTTACCTATCCAGAATTTCTTAAAAAATAATTTTTACAAATTTCTTCTGTCAATATTTAAATTGGGAAATTCAAATACTTATAATTGACTGGAAGCTAAATGTTGTTTCTGCTGTCCACAGAAGCCTAATTGCTTGTGTACATTACCCTCTGGTGGCAACTAGTAATTATTACAAAAAAGAGGACATACTGCAGAAGGGAAAGAAATAAAAACAAATTCACCAAAAAAATCGTTATTTTGCATTGTAAGGCTTCTAACATCTAGAAAGAATAAGCTCCTTTAAATATTCTTTAGCAGTAGTTAACAACTTCTCTGCTTAACTTTACCTGATCTTCACTTAAATACAGAAAAAGAGAGTAGCTCTGCAAAAATAAAGTTAGGATAATAGAAAACCTTATAACAACCAACTTTTCTGGAGCATTTCTTATATTCTTACAGTCAACATTAAGGACATTTCTTAATTTTTAGTTAAATACTGATGAGTAATGAAAAACATGAAGCTACGGAGTAGTGTCTCCACAAAACTTTTAGACAGTGAATCTCAAAAAAAGTAAGCAATTATCTATTTGAGGATTATTTGCATAAGAGAAGTCAAAATGTTTATGTGTTACATACCTTTAAAAATATTCAAACTTCCTTCTGCACTCAGGGGGCAATTATAGACAGTAGAATCCTTTTAGCAGGACCTATTGTAACCTGAAATATAGAAAAAAAGGTATTCAGCAGGGGAAAAAGAGCGATAGAAATTATGTCAGCAACAGTCAGTGTTAGTATGGGAAGATTTACTGGACCCTTAATGTTTGATTTGTCTGTCAGCATCCCAGGAAAGCTGAGAGCCTTGTGCACTCTCTAGTCTCCCTGGGGAACCCTCCCTGAGCAGTCCTGCTGGGTTGCAGGGTGGTTCCACTGACTCAGTCAGGGAAACCAGCAGTGTAAGGGAGACCCCTCAGCAGACCTTCCTCTTTTGGAGTGTGTTATCCACTGCCAGCCACTGCTAGTGCCCATGAAGGGCACCTACCAACAGTTTATGAAGTAACACTCTTTATTCATGTAAAATTGTGACAGCTTAAGGTTCAAAGGCTGTCAGTGATAGGACTGAAAAAATGCATTCAAAATAATCCACAGACAAGCTCTAATCCCCAGTAAAATGTTCTGCCTACAGAGAACATGATTGTTGCCCAACAGGCATCACTGTAGGAGAGAAGACAGGTTCAGCCCATTGACTGATCCCAGCAGTTATGATGGACTCTTCCTTACCTTCCCTACTCTCAACTTACTTTTGTACTATTTCTCTGTGTTTAGGTGCAGCTTGAGTGACTCCAGTCATGCATATCTTAGTTTCTGATTGGTGTAAATTCTCTCACTTTGCTTTTAAAGATACAGCTGTATCTGGAGAAATTTTATGTTGTGCCAGTTGCCAGGAAGAGTAACAACACAACAGGCTTTTCATTATCCTGTACAAGCAGTACTCACAAGTAGTCCTGGTAAACTGACTCACCACGTCTTTGCTGAATGACCCAGAGGGTTAATTAAGTTAACTACCCAGGGGGGGATCAGCTGTGATCGTTACATTGAGTCTCGTTTTTTACTTCAGTGAGTTTTTGAGGCTTCTCAGTTAATGGTAGTGTCAGATGTGGTTATTACATACTGTTACGGACCATCCCCAGTCACATTGAATGTGGACCTAACTACTCTCATTCATATCTTTATTATTATTCTCTCTTCTTCTCCTGTGGTATGGTACACATATACACACTTCATCTGCTTAGTATAACACCCATCATTTCTCCTTAAGGGAAAGGGCTTTATATGTTTCCTGCTCTCTTCCCTTGTCTTTATACTTGAAGCATTTGCTTCCAGGTTTTCATTCAAAATTTCAGTATTCTAAACTATCAGCATAGCAGACAGAACAAAAGAATTTTGTGATATGCTGCATTTGATTAATCATTACTGTCATCAATCAACCTACAAAAATCATACATATTTAACTGGCAGGATAAGCTGGGTATGCTAAATGAGGTGCACAGCTCAACCTGCAAGTAACTTCTGGTTTTTTCTTTATTTTGTATTTTTAGCAGAATCACAAGGCTTCTGTGTGTTATCTGTTTGTCCATAATTATTTTCATTAGACCTACATTTAATCACTGTTGTAATTTGCTGGTATCAAAATACAGAGCTGCATGCTGGGTATGTGGTCACATTGCACAGCAGAGTTTTTCTGTTAGTTATGATGCTCCAATGTCCTTGTCATTTTTTAGCAGATGGTTCTGCAAAGAATAATCAAAATTTGCTTTTCCACAGTCATAAGAACACAATTTGACACTCATTAGGGCGCCTTTTGGAGGAAAACAGCAGGCAGAAGTAACTTTGGGGAGAGCTATTTAATAGGAGTTATTCTCAAACCTTGATAAGTTAGAGAGATAGGCAATCACCAACTGTATGAATTTTAATTTGGGCAAGTGTTTGATTCTGTACCATGGGACAGTGCAATCCCAGTTTCTTATACAGACTACAGAACAAGGGGCTGAAGAGAAGTGCTGTGGAAAGGGACCTGGGTGCTCTGATCGATGGCAAGTTGAATGTGAGTGAACAGTGCGTCCTGGCAGACAAGAGGGCCAAGTGTGCACTGGGATCCTTTAAGCACAGCGCTGCCCAACTGGTAAAAAACTTTGTCCTGCTCTTCTCCTCACTGATGCAGCCTCAGTTTGAGGATTGTGGCAAGATTTGGGCACCACAATATGAAAAAGAAAATAAGCTATCAGAGAACATCCAGAGGCGGGCCATGAGGATGGTGAAGTGTCTGGAAGGAAAGGTTTACAGGAAGAGACTGATGTTATCTGGGTTTGTTCAGCTTAAAGTAGAGGAGACTTCATTGTTTTCATATTCTCACAAAGAGAAGTGGAGCAGCAGGTATGGATCTCTTCAGTCTCGCGATCCTTGACAAGACACAAGAGAAAGGCATGAAGCTTAGTCAGGGCAGATTTACACTGGACACCAGGAAAGATTTTTCACCCAGAGGGTGATTGAGTACTGGAACATGCTCTCCAGGGAAAATGACACAGCACCAAGTCTGAGAAAGTTCAAGAAACATTTGGACAATGCTCTCAGCTTATAGGTTGTCCTGCGCAGGGCCAGGATTTGGACATTGATGATACTGATGGTCCCTTCCAAAGCAACATATTCTATGATGATATGATTTCTGTCTACTTCTGACTCAGAACATTTAGGTTACAGGGTAATGGTATTCTACAACAATTTCATTCAAAATGTCCAAGAAGTACATCATTAAACCAAGTCCCCAAATGAACATACTTTCTAGATCTTTCTGTTTGCAATCTATTAGTATAACAAATCCATATTTGGGTTTGGAGCACTACATTGAAATTAAGATTATTGGGATAATTATAAAATTAACAACATTATTATTGTTCTTATTTGTGATGAGCAGTCCAGAACAATGCCTTAGTGAACATGAGTAAAACATTCATATTTTCCTTTAATACAGCCCGTAACTTATCATGTAGGAGAGAGGAGTCAAGCACAATCATTAAGTTCTTCAAATCTGTGAACTCCAAAAATTCTCAGAGTTGCATTTTCAAAATGCTTTAGGAAAAGCCATCCAAAGTGTCCTTTTTAAAGCGAGGAGAAATTAAGAAAGCCAGATGGTATAAAAAGGAACTTTTTTCCCTTTCATCCCAGATGGAAATAGAAAATTGCTGTCCTGTGACTCTTCGTGTATGACCTGTGAGAAATCTGCTGATGTGTGTACTTCATGTCCAGAAGGTAACATTTCAGCTTCCTTGGATAAGTCTCCAAGCAACTGTAGTATTTCATATCCTACATGCTTCCAGAGAATGTTTTTGTCAGTGGTCACTATAAAGTCCCTTAACAGCTTAAGAGGCAGTCAGACAATGAACAATTGAATTCAGGCAACAAGGCATGCCCTTGGCAATATGGGTTAAAATATTGTTGATAGTGTTCCTTTTCTTGCCTTTCAATTAAAATTTGTAGATATCATGCAGGTATTACTGAATAGGGATTTCTTCAGCAAGACATCCTAGATAATCCTGATGATTCCTTCTAACTGTCAGTGTTAGCGAAGTATGAGCAAAATATTTTGGGAAATGTCTTAAGAATGTTTTATTCATGCTTTTAAGAACCAAAGTTGAATTTTGAGAAGTTGAAAGCTTTTTTTTTTGTAGCTATCCAAGGCAGAAATCTTTTAAATATATGTCTAATTGACATCTTTACACCCCTGGGTTGCTCTTCTGCCAGGAAAATTTCTTATCCATGACACCTGTGTTTCTCTGTGCCCTCCAAAATATTTTGGCAACACTGCAAGTGGAAAGTGTGAGAAGTGCAGGCATGACTGCGAGGTGTGCTCTGACCAGTGGCACTGTCAGAAGTGTCAGGCTGAACAGAACCAGCTGCTCTTCCTCCACAAAGGCAGATGTTTACAGGAGTGCCCTGAGTAAGTAACCCCTCTTATATCATCCCTGATTTTTTTCTCTGCTCTTTCTGTTTAAAGTTCAGATCCATTATTAAACTTTCAAGGAAGAACTTTATATAACACATGCTACCAGAAATTAAGGTAAATATAATTTTCAGACTGAAAAAGTAGTATTTTCTTTTGGTTAGAGAAAAAGCAAAAAAATCAAAAGTGAAGGTAAGACATTAAATCCTATGAAAGATGGAACAGCTCTCAATGACTTTAACAGGAACATGGTACTTCATGGCAAATGATAATAAAGGTTCTAGTCATCCTCCAGTTTGTTTCTTTCTCCAAGCAGTACAGAGCAGAGATATAAACTCAGACAGTGAATATGTTAGAGTCCTGATATGTAAATACAGTGCTTAATTATGTGTGTTTCTCTCTTTGGCTCATATTTATTTTTATATATTTTTATATGTGGAATTAACAAATATTCCCATTTGACCACAATGGATATTAGATCAGGCACATGAGTAGATCAGATTCTCTCTTTTCTATGTTTTTTTAATCAATATTCATCTTATGTATATATACATAAAACCAATGGTATGCAGAAAAAAAAGCCTTGCTTGGTCAGCCCTTTTTCTTCAGAAAACTGTGAAGCTCCTGCTTTTCACGCAATCTCTCTGCCACTGCCATCCTTCAATTTTTGTCGAATAAGTCAATAAGGGCCAGTGGAACAGGTTTGCTTCATGAAATGTCACAGTGAGTGGAAGATAATTGCAGTAAAGCCAACTCTAGTGCAGAAACAATTTTTAATATTAGAAACCGAGGCACACAACTATTAATTGCGTTTTGATATTAATATGTCTCTTGTCAGTACTAGCTTCCCAGTTATCCCACCTAGAGTCAGTATAACAAAATTAAAACTTTTTATATACCACTAGTCATTTCAGATGTTATCATCCCCCTTTTTTTTCCCAAATTCAAGACTTTAAATAATAGCTTCCCATCGCTGAGCAAAATTCACAGGATTTAAACTCCAGTTTCAGACTCTGAGGTAAAATTCTTGAGACACAACTACTCTCCACTGGAGTAAAAAATAAGAGTCCTTATTAAGGGAGTTGGCTTGGGTTTGGGGACATGTTTTTAAGTGACAAAAAAGGGATAAAAAGGTTTGACTTATTGCACCATTAATTTCTGACAGAGTAATTTTGAAAGACTGGGTAAACTGCGTATTCAACACTAGAACAAGAAAAGATGA